GTTGGGGTTTTTTTATTATGCCTTTGATATACAAAGTATGCATTGCATAATTGCGTTTGGCATCCAAAAGCTAGCATTCAGAGAAAATGAATGACTTGGTCAGAGCAGCAGAAAGGCAAAAAAAAACAAAAAATTCCCATTTGCTATCTTCGGAAATTTTTGGCTAGCAACATTGGTATTAATAAAATAAATTAGATTATATGCCGCAGTTCATATTAAAGTAGCTGCAACACCATCACCACCACCACCACTGCTACCAAACGCCAATACAATAAAAATCGTATAACACCACCAACACCAACGCCGCAGTCCATACATCAACAAATTGTTGTTTTAAAAATAAAAAAAAGTTTTGTGGTTTTTCACGAAAAAATACCATAAAAATACCATTTACTTCATTGGCTTACAAAGGTCATAATTTGTTTCGAGTAAAGGTTGCAGTAATTTATATAATTACTGGACGAATTATTTTCCATTATAACCGAAAGTCTCTTTATTTATTTTGTATTTAATAAATGGTACTACACGAATTAATGAATTTAGAAGGTGTGGGGATTTCGAATGTACACACTACATTGCACAACCCTATGGCTGTACACAAAATGTACCCTAATACATTTTGGGATAAATTCACATTAAAACCCGATTTAACGGGACCTCCCCCATTCTCGATTTAATATGTTCAAGATTTTCATTGCGCTGGTAAATGAATACCAATGCATGTTGTGGTTTGTAAGTTTACAAATATATAATTGAAGATTTAAAAGAGAAGAAAAATAATAAATAAATAATAAAAATGGTTCCCTTAAAGACAAAATTAAATTATTCGGAAGTATGTGCCAAAAATCGTGTCAATCAGATAAACGTCGAATCACTCGTGCACCTTTTACTAGAAATCGGACAAAAATGTATATAAGAATCCTTTTCGTGGTTTCAAAAGTGTGAGACTAGAGTTCGACAACTGTCGTTAAACCTATTTTATCTTTTCAGTTGGAAGAAGTTCATGGATAATGCAAAATTTCATTTCAAGTAGGAAAACGTTGAGTCCTTCGTGCATCATTTACGTAAAATCGGACGAATATGTACAAACACCGTACCAAGTATATTTTAGTAATTAATTTTCTCCCCTTTTCGGAAGATTGTTAAAATTTATTTTTTATATCAAAAATTTCAAAAAAAAACTGTTGAATTTATAACTGCGAACAACAGACGCAGTTGTGATTGAGCTTCCCCTAAACCGAGTAAATATTGATACGATTTATTGGACAAATTTCTGTTTGATCGTTTTTTTATTATTTGTCATGTCTTCCTTAATTGATGTACAATTAACACTTTTGCCTTTTCAAATGATCAACATTTCATTTCAATTCGATTTGATTCGTATCCAATCGATACACATATCGCTTCAATTTGTTGCTGTTGTTGTTTTCATTTCATGGTTATGGCTATGGTTGTCGCTGGCTATCGCCGCTGCTGCAATCCTTCGCAGTTGATTGTTGTTGGCAACATTGTCCCAACTACATAAAAATGTTCGGCGTCATCATATAATTGACTTTGCCATTGCTAAATGCCATCAAATAAAAATCTCAAGAATTTCAATGTTTTGTTGTTGTTGCTGTTTTTTTTTTTTTTTGTACTTTTGTCGAATCATTTCATGTTCAGCGTATATTTAGCGAACTTTCTCTGTTATTTATTTTCCTTTTCGTTTACTTTATTTACTCGAGTTCCCTCTGTTCTGCTCTGTCCAATTCTGTTACGGCTCTGGTCCCTTCTTCATTTATCAATTACAATTCAATTTATTTGGTCTCGCCTCGTATCGATACATACAATTTGACTTGGTAATCGAACAGAAAACAGTAGACAGACGACATATCCGACTAACCGACACCGGCCGAACACACATTTTGCATGACACGGCAGTGAAATTGAAATAAGAAGCACATACATACAGACATTCTCTCAGGAACATGAACTTATACTCAACTAATATTGGGAAGAAGGAAAAAAATCGAGAATCGAAAAACAACAACACCAGCAACAACGAATCATTTCATATGACAGCAGCTAGCGACCGAATAAATCGAAACCCAAAAATAAATTCATTGCATTACGTGTCCCTCCCCCATTCTCTCGCACAATTGGCTGACTGCTGAAATTGCTGGGATAGCTGGTAGACGCCACAGCCGTTTGACTCCTCTGCCATCCGTTTGTTTCTTAACTATTTCCTTTGAATACTTTAAAACATTACCCAGAATAGAATGCCATAAGGCAATTGAATAGAACACGGGCAGCGGCATCTGTCTATTGCATATTTATGAATCGACTCGAATCCAAGCTGCGTTGCAATTGAACACCGAACGCGTGCAAGTAGAATGCCGGATTGTTGCTGGTTGCATTCAGCATTCATTTCAATATTTCGCCAATATTAAAAATATATGTAAACGTCGCTGATATAAAGTATTGAATATATATATTTTTTGGAAAACGATTTATTGTTTGCTTATAGATTACGAGCTGATCTATATGCATCGTATAGATATAGATGAATAGGCTGAACAAAAATGAGACTACAAGTACAGATACACACACCTAGGCGAATTATATAAATGCTGTGCAAAGCAACTGTAGTTTGGAAGTTTTCAATGGAAATTTTCTATTTTCCATAATATATATATTTTTTAATTTAGTGTTGACTGGAAACCATAAGTAAATATTAAAGACAGATATGAGCCTGCAATACTTCCACAAAATATTTTTGCACTGACTGTACCGACCGAAGTCCTATGAGAAAATCCATTGATTTTTCCATATTGTAGAAACGCCTTTTTCAGCATCGCTCGTGATTTCAGCTACAGGCACACCTCAAACCAACAATAGTTTTAATATAACCCCCTCTATTCGAGCACATACATAAATGCTATTGCTATTGGATACACTAGCATCTTCTCTGCATTTTGTCTTTTCGGAATAAACATATAAATATTTAGTTATTCTTCACACAAAACACCGGCCAAATGGACCTAAACCGTCATATATTGACCGATGACTGATTGGACAAACACACGCGTGACAAGAACATCCCGAAGGATGTTCTTGTGGCCTCAAGAGTGCCGAAAAAAAAAACAAAAATAAGGTTTTTGGTCCACTCCATCCCTAAAATAATTAAAAATTGTTGACAACAATCCGTAACTTCGGCTTCAACTTAGATTACAAAATATGATGACCAGACAGTTCTATGACCAATATTTCGACGACATAGTTATGTATGTCGTGACCTCGTATTAAATTTCATAGTTTATATATGCTTTATATATTCTACTTACATATATATTCTAAATATCAATAATATGGATTTAAATACGGGTCCTCAGTGCAATAAAAGATCAGTAGATTGTCATTAACAAGTGAGTGCAGCCAACTTTTACAAATATTTTACAATCAAAAACGGCCGAAAAAATTAAATCTCATACAGGTGTCTTGAAGTGATGAAGATGTTTAAATTAATTTAATTTACCTCAACATAATACAGTGCATTTGTCTGTGTTGTTAAAAGTGTGTCTAAAATCAAATAAAACACATTCTAAACATTCCCTAACCATGTTACCGATTCTCATGCAAAGTTCTATTGACGATAATTAACATAGAAAATTCCTACAATATTTTCATTTGTCATAATCACTGCCTTGTATTCGAAAATCACCTTAGCTAAAATTGTAACCAAGAAATCTAAACTGAAAATGTCAGCCAGACCTGTTCCTATTTTTGAAATTTCCTTGACGTGTTACTAGGAAAAATATCAAACGAAATATTTTTTGCAAATCAACACAGAAATTTTTTATTAAAAATTTTAGAAACACATGTTGATTTTTACATGATTATCTCAATATGCCATATGTATAATTGTGTGTGTGTCTGTGCGTGAGTGAGTGTTCTACATGCTCATTTAGCCCATAATCGAACATCAACAAAAAAAGGCTACGCTAAAACTAATGGCGTTGTGGACCAAAACTCAACTCGAATAATGAACAGCAATAATTTGTCGCCGGTTTGTTTGGATGGCTGGCTGGTTGGTTGGTTGGTTGACTTGCTGGCTGGCTGGTTTCTATCGGGTTGGCCATTCTGTTGCATGCTTCCATTTCTAGTGCTGTTGCATTCATTCAATTTGTTGGCAATCTATAGCCATGGCCCTGTTGATCAATTTCAGAATCTTTTGGGATGTTCAACGTCGTGTTGTCTGTTTTCTTTTTTTTTTTTTTGTGGCTCTGTCTGTCCGCTGTGTTAAAATCTTATCGTCAGCTATGCCCATACACCTAGGCATTCGGCATTGTTGTGCAGTTAATAACGATGCATCATCCACTTGAATACAAGAGCCAAACAAAACAGCTATTATCCGCCATGGAGTGGGTAACGAGCCCCAAACTAAAACCTATTCATTTCGGAATAAATCATGCGTAGCAGAACGTAACAAATAGACGATTGAACAAATGAATGCGCCCAGCGAGCAGCACCAGAACCAGCTAGCATAGCTCCCTCGAAACTGCCAACCCCAATAACATTTTGCAAATTAAGGAAAATATTTTCTCAGTATTTTCGATGATCGGCTCGGAACGCAATTGCATGCTGATGGCACGTAGACAGCGGACACGACTGCATTGGCCACAGTGTCATGTGCAAATGTTGCAAATTCGTTAAAATTTAATTTGCCGACAAGACAAGACCAAAAAGTCAATCACCGCATTTTAAAGTGGAAGATTTCAGTTGTTGTTGTTGTCGGTGAGGCAGTTTTATTGAACGAAACCTTTCAAAGTGGTGTGGTTAGGGGTTTCTTGTCCCCCATAAGCCATCGAGCCCTGATCGTGCTAATGGATTTCACTCGTGCAACAAAAAAATAGCTGGTGATAATTCAAATACTTGTACTAAATACTTCACACTATGTATGCAATATTAAAGAAACGTTCAAAATTTCACAATACTATGGAGGCTATGGAAGAACAACTTACCTGGACTTGTTTGCCAACTAAGGCCACCGATGAACATTTTCCTGCAAAGAAGAGCCAAAAGAAAAACAGTTTAATTAGCAAACTTTGGAAGATACGAATAATTGTGAATAATAATTTGTATGTCTGTTCGTTCGCTCGTTTGTTTGTTAGCTATTGTGCATTTGTGTAGCAGATAAAATATGCCAAGGAAAGGGGAGTGGGAGACGTAAGTATTTCGTCATTTCATGATGTCTGTTGTTTGCCAAATGATTTCAACTCCATAAGAATAGACAATGAATTCAACCCTTTTTACAGTAAATCTAAAACCTGAAACAAAGCGAAGATAACAACACAAAAATGCTCAAAAGGAAAAACATTTCGAGTGCACTGTGCTTCGAAGAGTCGTTATTGTACTAACTGTATCTTATACAGCTAATTATATTTGAAGATACTTATATTTTTCTAAGACAACAATACGTCTTAATTATTGACAATAAGTTTATTGGCCAAACTATAATGTTGGACAAATATGCTAATGCATGCTTAATGTCGAAGAAAATCTGCGTCCCGCCTTAACAAATACATGTTGGACATTATTAAGCAAAAAACTCAGGTTTATAAATTGTCCCTGCGGTTATACGGTGATTACCTCAACATAGTGTCTACATCATATATGTTGGTAATAAAGAAGTATATTGATCCTTGAGTTCCACCAGATCTGTTGAAGGGTGTATTCTGAAAACCGTTATTCCATCGGTTCCCAATGCCAACTAATATCTGAACACTCTTTCCCGAATAGTGAAAAGGGAGTTTAATATTTGAGAGGGCAACCCCTGCTTTCCAACAACTTTAGATCTTTGGATTTCTGAAATGACTTGTACTGTTAACCTTTCATCCGGTTGTAGTTGAAACTATGCGTTATGTGAGAAGAATTGGGTAACAGAAATCAGAAATACAATTCACATGCTTTTCCTATAGCCAGACACTTTCTTTGAAATCATCATTGATTAGAGCTAGGTTCATTCATCAGACTAGTAAAATCCCCAAAATACATCATTTACACGTTAGAGCAATTACAACCGAATATTTGTTCAATTCAGATTTATTATCGCGAATTATAATAATTACTATAGCATTTGCGTAATGCTATAGGCTGGAACAACATCAGAAAAGCCTGACATGTATTGTTTAGTTATAATGGTAGATTAAGATCTAAATATTTTCTTAATAGTTTTTAATGTTCTTCTGCATGAAACGGCAGAGCAGAACGAAAAATCACCTTCAATCAAAACATACACCCATACATTCATGTGACCTCAAAGGTCATTCAAGAATATACGAAATTATTTCCCCTTTGAACAAATGGAGCAACGGAATCACTGTTTCCTGGTCCTGCTGTAATGATGCTGATAACAATAATAATAACAATGATTAGAAAGACTGGCTGACTGGCTGGCTGACTGAATTAATGAATGAATTGCAAATAGTTTTGCATATATAGCCCACCTTCCCACAACGACCCCGCTTCGCCTAAATTTTCCTTCTTCGGCTTAGCAAATAACATAACAAGCCAAGTAACAACAAAAACAAAACAAACAAAAAACAAGTCAGTCAGTCACTCAGTCATTGAATCATTTTGTGCATTGCTTCGTCTTCTTCTCCGTCACTCGGTTCGGATTCAGATAGTCATTCATTTCAGCTTTACAAATGCCAACATACAAATACAACTACATCTAAAACAAATACTACTACAGCCATAGCTACGACAACAACAACAAAAGAGACACTGTCAAACAATGCAGATGATCTATTATTATCGTCATTAAAATAAGCGGCTTGTAAGTATTGTTCTCAAGCTTTTGCTACAAGCTGGCAAAATGACAGACGACAAATAGACTGCCTGGAGTAGAGAAAGATAGGCAAACGAAGAATGCATGGGTGGAATGAATGAACGAACGAATGGATACATAGATAAAGGGATAGAGAACAAAAGCAAATACAGAAATGTGGAAGTACAAGTATGCAAAATAAAACACACGTGTTGAAACAAAGAATATTTATTGGAAGCAAGTATTTGGTCTGATTTAAAGCTGTCGATTTGGGAGAACTAAAAGCGAAGAAAATTTAAACACTTTTGAATACCTTCCAGTCCATTGGTTGTAAACATTTTAAGCGAACATCGAATATAGCGATAAAATAAGCGAACATCGAATGTAGGTAACTCGCGAAATTTTGGAAATAAAGATTTTTATTAGACCTCTACTATGACTGTTTTAGCCATTGCATTTTAGCTGAAATCAAAGAGCGGTGAAGCACCACAAACGGTGGCCAAACCAGGACTAACGGCCAGTAAGGTTCTGCTATGCATTTGGTGGGACTGGAAGGGGATTATGTATTATGAGTTGCTTTCATATGGCCAAACGCTAACTTCTGATCTCTACTGTCAACAACTGGACCGTTTAAAGATGGCAATTTACCAGAAACCGCCAGAAGTAGTCAACAGGAGATGTGTCGTTCTCCACCAGGACACCACAAGGCCACACACATCTACAGTGACTCGCCAGAAACTTCGGAAGCTTGGTTAAATGCATCCGCCATACAGTCCGGACTTGGCACCAAGCGATTATAATTTTTTTCTTAAATTACAAAATTTCTTTAATGATAAAAAATTGGTATCTAGGGAGGATTGTGAAAAAATTAAATTACAGCAAACTAGATTGAAAAACGCGCCCAAACTCCCCTTAATACCAAAATTTCGGAAGTACCATTATATGGGGACTAAAATTTACCCATATTTATAGTTTTTGGTAGAAAGATTTGCCACCCAATTAGAACTAAAAAAACGTGCGAAAAATCCCAGAAATTCCGAATAATGGGGTATACCGTTAAAATGAGTATTTTACTGCCAATTCCGTTGAAAAACGAACCCAACAAAATAAACGGCATGCATGGGCATGGCCCGCACATTTTTCACAAATACATTTTTATAACATTTGAGTGTACTGCAAATTTGTTGAGGCTAGCTTGTCGGGAAATATTTTATGCCGCTAAGATCGCAATTTCAGCCATTGTGCATTTTTTCAGACGACAACAAGTATCTGCAGTTTATTTTTAGTTTCGCTTTTTAAGCTCTTTTCGTTGTGAATTATATTCCTTTTCATTCTTTAAATAATCACAGTTATTTGAAAGGATAATACTCATATCTGTCATCTTTGTTTCGATTCCTGTTTAAAGCAAAGCAGCCACCCTGTCATCTAAACCAAAAAAAAAAACCAACTCAACCAGCTGTCAAAGTGAAAAAGTAGGTTAGTAATTGGCGGATCTTTTGTCGTTTGTTATTCGGCTTTGCATTCAACCTGTTTTCTCTTTTCTTTCATTTCTAAAAGGAAATATTCTTTTGATGTTAAATACGTACAAACAAACACAAGTTCATCCTAGACATACTAGTTAAAAACCCAGCGGATTATGTTTGGATTTTGTGTCGAAATGTAATCCAGAGAAATCGGTGGTTTTCATGTAATTATCCTTTGCGCAAATTCGCACCACTGCCGTTCGATGTGACACCGAACAATTCATTTTAATATATATTCTGCTGGAATTGAAATATCCTTATTTATAACTAACGAACGAATATATTTAGTTGACTCTAAAAGAAGGCATTTTAAAAGAAATGGGAATTGAACTCTGATCCTACAATCAGAAAGTTATGGATCAATTTGAAATCTTACAATTCTTAAAAGCAATGTGTTTAACTATTGTATGTAATTTTTGCTTTGCTTAGCTCCAATTATTTAGAAGTTATTCATATCTTAACAATTGTTACAAACAGTTCACGAAATCTTGCGAAGATATGTCAGTATGACAGATATATATTTAGGGAATTTAATTTTTGAAGCATTGAAAAAATCAGGTAATCATTTCCCCGTCCTAAATGAAAAAGTCTTAAAGGAGAATATGATTGATTTGATTTAAATACTACTTATGATTACAAACATGCATATAAACACTTAATAATTATATAATCAAATTGATAGCTCGTTCACAATTATACTTTAATATAATGTCCTTTCAAGGACTATTCTACACATACTTTGCAAACAGAAACAAAGAGGGGAGGAGAGTTTTTTATTCTTCAATATACCCCCGTGTTCGTTTTTATTTTGCTTCAAATAAATAGTTCGATATAGTTAACACCTAGACAGACCCATTGCGAAAAGAAGGGGTAGACGAGAAAAACACACATCGTTATTCATACATTAAGACCGTGGATTTGAATGAATTGTTGTTCTCCATCCCTCCGTCTTGTACTATTTATACAGTCTGTGTTAATTTATTAATTTATACACTGATTACCGACTGACAATAGCAATGGTGATGGCGATGATGATGATGATGTTAACGTTGTTCTCGTAGTCGATTGCAACCGACCATGATAACCCAGCAAACTTATTTTCGGTAAATAGTCTTGTTGTGTCCATCGATAATGAAAAAAGGTAGTATCTGACGTGCAGTATTTTATGGGATCATATGTAACTATATGCAAATCCATACGTGGAATGAGCTAATATTATTAAGGAACTGTATGTGTGTGTGTTGTTGGAAAATTGTTCTATATTGGTATTAAAAATTATAATAATACAAAAATACAAAATACTTGCATACATTTTTTGCAAATTCATACTTTAAGAGTACTAAGCCGATTGAAAAGTGATGACATTGAAATCGAGAATAGCACCCTTTTTGGCGTGTCGTATAAAAAATCACCTTAAAGTGTTTTACTGGGTATCACCATTGCAATTGTTGTTCATGGATTTACTGAGTAGTTGTGAAGTCAGTTAAGTCGAACTGAGTTAAGTTGCGACATATGACGACCTCTTGGCAATTGTTGCATTTTCTGTTCTCGCTTTTTTGCTTATTCAACAGCCACTGTTGTTGCCTACTATTTTCCATTTTATGGTAGCCAACCTCTCGATACAACCCTTTGTTTCCCCCCTCAATTGGTTTGTTTGCATCGTCACCAACAACGTATAGGTGATAGGGCATATCCGACATTCACACACACACACACACATATCAGTTGGGATGAGTAACTCATATATCAGTCACTTGGTTACTGTGCTCTACTGCCGATCTCCCGGCACCCTTGTTCCAGCGAGGCAAATCAAACCAGAAACAAAAACCTATTAAGAAGTCAACGTTGTTACAATTATGAATAATTCATCAACATCATCGCTATCAACACTTCAACATCATTACAATCGGCAACATCGTCCAAGTCGAATTGGGAACAGATCAACTTGGTGTTATCGCTGGTTCTCGTCACTGTCGTCGTCGTCACATCGCTGACAATTTTCTCTGGCATTTGAAAAGTTTGTCTCACTCGCCACTGTTGCTGTTTCAAACAATACTTGGAGGGTTGTTGCTGTTGTTTGTCGTTATTATCGAATAGCAAATGAATTCAATTGAAGGCAACAAAAAAGAAATATGCAAAGAGAATCTGAGCAGACGTCTGAATATGGTATAACATTTGACTCTGTTTAAATAGATACGTTAAGGATAGACGTGTTCACGAATGAAGATGTAGAAGTCAATTAGCAATATCTCTAAAATATATTGCGATGCAGCACTAGGTAGTGGTTAATAATCCGAAGGACAAATTGTTTTTACAAAATTTCTATTGGGAAAGCAAATGTGATAAAATTATTTCATCGAACTAAAAATTTGATTAAATCCAAAAAATAAAGAAAAGCTGTTTATTTTCTATGATAACGAATTATTATATATAACAATATAATTATAAAATAATTGATGTATATATAATTAACATTAGAAATAAAAAACCTACATATGTCTGGTTTTTGTGTTAATTAAGCAAACTTAACTTCGAACTTTGTGTTCCTTGATTGTTTGAAAATAAAGAAAAAAGTCTAGTGTCGGAATTCACATTCACAATTAAATTCTCATTGGAAATTTCGAAAAATCCCTGCATTTAATGCCATTGCCACAAACAATGGGCAAGGAACAAATAAATCGAAGCAACTATCAAAGTATTAATCATAATGGGAAAACCAAAGAAAAAGAATTCCAGAAATGAAATGCGATAGCCATGCTGTTCGGCAACACCAGATGACACCACATTGGCGGAGGCACCAATCAAGGTGCCATTGCCACCAAAGCAAGCTCCCAGGGCTAGAGCCCATACCAATGGTGTCAACGGCAGCTTCAACGCATCGTTCTGAGCTAAACTAATAACAATCTTAACCATCATTGTGGTTACCGGGATATTGGCCAGAATAGCCGAAGCAATGCCGGAAACCCAGAGAATTAGTAAAACGGCCACCAGTAATCGATAGGTGGGAGAAACGGTACTAATAATTTTAACACACAAATTACCCAAAACTTCGATGAGGCCCAATTCCGTCAGTGATTCCATCAGCGTAAAGAGGCAGGCGAAGAACAATAAAGTCGACCATTCGACACGGGAAAGTACAGTTTCGATATCTTCCTCATCGGCAAGTATCAGCAGAAGAATGGCACCCACCAATGCGCTCCAGCCCAAAGAAAGATGATGCAAATGAGGCACCGCATGCAAACAGAAGAGGAAGAGCACAAAGATAAATGCCACCGTGGATTTGATTAGCAGCACCTTGTTTCGTATCGAATATGTGTTCTTCATATAGACCAGCGTTGTTTGGAAATCGGTTGTCACAAATACCGCCTTAGCTTCCAAGTCTCTCAATTTATGTTTCAAATCTTTGGCTTTTTTGTGCAGAGTGTTCTGAACTATTTCCTCATCTGTTGTTGTGGGTGCAATGGCTTGGGCTGCCTTCTCCCACACTTGTATTTCATGTTTCAAGGCTTCAATTTCCACCGATTGTTTGTTCATAAAGTCCTTTATTTGCGGATACTTCAGCCGGAGATGGATAAAGGTCGATATCATCCCCAATGTCACAGCGGGCAGCATGTGCAGGCAAAAGTTACCAAAATTGACACCATGTGTGTTGATGTAGGCATTGGTCATAATTAGGATATTCGGAGGATCTCCAACTGGTGTAAGGGCAGCACCAATATTCGAGTATATCACCATGGACATAAGAACGGGCACCGGGTTCAAATTGCAAACTTCACAGAGCCGTATTGTCACTGGTGCCACCAACAGCATCATCGTAACATTATCCAAAAAGGCAGACAGCACCGCCGTAAAGAGGCATAGAACATAAATCAATCCAAATAGGTTACCCTTCGAAAGTTCATAAGCCAAAACGGCCAGATAATCAAATATACCCGACTCTGACAATATCGATACCAAAATCATCATTCCGAACAGTAGCATAAGAGTTTCGACATCAACCCAAGACATTATGGTGAGGATCGAGGGTCTAGCATTCAATGCAGCCAATATGCCAATTGCCAACGTCGAGGCCACCACCGCAGCAAAGGTGCGATTAACAAACTCCCAAATGATGAGAATATACAAAAAGAGCAGTACCAGGGAACCTAAGGGTATTCCAATCGATTTGTCCAAGGGACTTGTGTCAAACCATAATTTTAGGGTTAGTATCTCAGCAACATTTGTATCCATGACAATATATTTGTGGCCTTTGGTTGTGGATATATCACGTTGTAAAGTCATAACAAGAGATTTTTTTATTATCGGACGATATTGCAAATTTTGGTCGCTGCTTAAGAGGAAATAATAACTTTCGCTTATGACTTCTACCAAGTCACCTTCGACCAGCTCCAAATGTAACGAAACATGCGGTTCATTTCTGTTTGGTTTATGGGTGATGGCATCATTGCCTTCTCTAAAAGCTCCCATCAAATATATACCAATTAGCTGTTTGACCTCATCAGCTTCGGGAATTTCCAATCGTTTTGTTGTCTGCGGACGTATGCCCATCAATATTGGGTTAAAGGTTTTCTCTTTATGTGTCACAATTGCCGTTGCATAGATTAGCCAAATAACAAATAGTATGGCCACTTTTATCAAATGAATGCTGATCTTCTCACGACTTGGCTGTGAAGTTATGGAATCCATAGAAGGTTGCACTGGTAGCCGCTCTTTTCGTGATCCCTCATTTTCGCCTTCGTACTCCAATTGGGGTAAATCATCGAGAGAACCTTCAGCTTCATTGATTTTTGATGTTTTGCTTGGTCCAATACCAGAATTGGTATCAAATTGAATTTTCTTTGACATTTCTTTTACAATATAAAAACGTATTTGATTTTTATTTTAAATAATTTTTAAATATATATGTACATATTTTCTATAACAATTCACGGACGACTAGGTGTAAATATGTTTTGAATCGATTCTATATCATAGTACCAGCACAGTGTATAGAATGACGGGTAATTCGAAATATCTGATTATAGTTTATTCGATAAATATTGGCTTCAAGAGTGGTTAGTAAATTAAATAGGTCCAATTCGAAATTTGTGACCTGTGATGATCTGTTCTGATTATTCCCTAATTTTTATATGTGAGTATATATATATATATTTTATTCCAAAAATGCAATTTGAAGCCATTAAGGCCTATTTCATTTAAATTGCAAACTATACTACTCCATTTAGCAAGATTTCTTAATGATATTTCACAGTAGAGATGGTCCGTGTGACGAATTTTTAGAGAAGAAAATTTTAAAATTTGGTATGGATTTGAGTAAAGCATACGCAACTTCCTAATTGGATATTGGACATAGCAATTTTGTAAAAAACCTAATGGTTTTGGGTGTATTTCCGAAGTTTCTGACGTATGCATTATACGTCGGAAATGTTTGTCATTTACGTCACTGTTTTTAACGCTCATATTCACTATATCCGTTGTACACTGTGCAGTTTATATTTTATTATATAGAAGTATTTGACAAAAACATTAAATCTTTACAGAATTATTTACTTGGGTGATATAGCCAATTTTAATGTCCAAGTATCCTATATTCGCAGACGTAAAATTTCAAACCCAATTTCTATTAATGTTTTTTCCTTTACATACATATCTGATTAAATTTCGAATATTGCGAAAAGTATGAACAGTATATTTTTGCAGTTCCCTGAATTAGACTAAACTCTGCTATATTATATTACAATAATAATTAAGAATTTCTATTTTGCTCTACTTTTTTAATTTTATGGAAAAAAATGTCATAAATTTCACTTCTGAGGCAATCTAAATTTATCCGATCTTGCACCCAAAGTCAAATAAAATTAACATTTGCGCCACTTTCTTTACAGCGACCTCGTTGAGCTCTTGTCGTCGTTGTTGTTGTTAGTAATTCATAAAACCAAAAAAAAAATATTTTCGCTCCCGTTCACAGTTCAATTATCGTCACTACACCCTCTGCTGATGGTCTACGGCCTGCCCATCGTCAACGTCGTGCAACATCATTCATCGAATTCGAAATGAATGAAGAAACAAAAACACAAATGACAAAAGAAAATATTCAATTAGTATTTGTTTTAATCCATTCGAATGCAATTTCTACAGTCAGTGTTCTCTATGCGTTCGCCTGACTGATGCTTAGAATTAGATATCCAGCCAGGCAGCCAGACAGCCAAGGGTTGCAATTTGTTGCAATCAATTCTTAGCTGGCACTGTAGTTGTTGATTTTATTTCGTTGCTGTTGTCGTTGTCGTTGGCGTTCGTTGCAAAGCAAACATCCTCCTTCGAACAGCAAAGTCAACAGAAATTGCTTTCAGTAATGGCCTTGTCCTACACTTGCTTAAATGAGCAATCATCAGCACCGCAAATACTCGCGAATACACACACACACGCTAACGAATTGCCAAGCAAGCAATCCACCCACTCGCCATTCCCATCCATTCCAAACCCATGACCAACGAGCAATGACCGGCAACTGCTGTTTATGTTGATGATAATGTTGCCATTGCTGGTGCTGTTGCATGCACATGGGAAAGTTGCAAGCGAACAAAAAATAAAAACAACAAATATGATACTTGAACGTCTGAAAGTCTAAAACATGTCAAAGTCACTGCCGATTATAGCACCAACGAACCTCATTGGCGCGAAAATGTGCGAGAGAACGAAAACTGAAACAAAAACAAAAATTGCCCAACTTATCCAGCATCATGGCTGAGGACACGATGCACATGCTCCCCCTCCTGCCCTGCCCCGGAACAGATCTCCATTAGGCAGCGAAAGGCCGACACCGCCAACACGCTAATAAATAAATGAAAAATTTGCAAAGTTCCACATTCACGCCACTGACTTAAATTCTCAATGTGCGCCAGCATCAATTCTATGCTGCCATGTTTTTCGTTGCAACTGCTGCAAACTGGGTGATTGGGTGATGATGATTGCCGACCTTCCTTCCCAGATTTTTTCATTCACTTGCATTCAATTTGGGTCTGTTTGTTTTTCTATTTGGAAATTTGTGTGGCCATCAAGCGGTGGCAGCAACTCAACGGACACCGAAAATATTCTCTGTTGAAATGGAGATAAAATTCGTGCGAAAATTAAAAACCAATTATCAATACCAAAGGCATCCTTTCAACTTTTAACACCTTTTGCTGGGTAAACAAATCGATGGGATGGCCAATTACAGAAGTTTAATTCGTTTTGGAAAAATATCCTACGAGAACTATGGATAATTAATGGGAGGTTAAGGTCATGCTAAAGGTTCTTTGTCTGGCTATCATTGCGTTTTTATTGATCTCAATTACCGAAGTAAATTCGATGATTTTCCATAAGAAATGAAAACGAGATTCGAACAATTTGTAATAAAGCTTGGTTTTGTTAATTTACCTTCAGACAAGTTTTTGTTTTTATATAACCCCAACAAATTGGATACACGAAGTTTAATTTGATTTTTAGAGTCAAAAGCGAAGATCTGTGTATTATTTATAAGTCAAATAGGTTCATCTACCGACTCATGACTGAAAAGTTGTCATGGAGATACCAATTATGAGAGTTTATTTTCTCTCTCTCTCCTCCCTTTTTCTCTCTTCCGATTAAAATTAAAAGCAATTTAATACATTTCCGCCATATCTTAGAGTTTGGCAAGGAGCAATTTAATACTAAAACCCAATTCCTATGACACTCTACATTTCGCCTCGCCCGGCCAGAGCAATCATTACCTCTGGTACTATGCACACACAAAACATTGACGTTCATGTCGTCGTCGTTGTCGCTATCGTCCACTGTTTCTTTTTTAATTACTCTTACATTGACAACACCAGGTGAAAATCCTCAGGAGGTTGACACATCAATACGTTAAGCCACCAAATGACATGAGCATAAAGAAAAAAACGATATTCATTAGATAGGCTACCCCAGTAAACTAAACAAACTGACAGCCAGCCAGCCAGCCATCCCACAATAATAAAAGCGAATGGATGAATGAATGAATAAACTTTAAACTATCTACGTGCAGCAGTAACGGGGACAACACACAACTACTGTCGCCACATGCGGTGGCGGAGCAGGCGGCTGCAACGACTGATGTTGCAACTCAACGAAAAGAAACAAAGTCATTTAAGATTAGATACGAAACGGAGAGCATTGCAATGCAGTACAAGTGCACTTTGGTGGCACAAATGGCTTTATAGTCGCATTTTATGGCTGGTAATGAATGGCTAAGAAATTCAAGCCTTTGCCACCGTCACATTTATCCATTCCTTCGTTCGTTCATTCATTCTTTCATTCATGCGCAGACATTCACATAGTCACACTCACACGCATTTCATAACGACAGTCAGCCGCTTGGTTAGTTAGTCACCCAGTCAGTTAGTCAGTCACTTGGTTGGATTCCACACGCCCTAAGATCACTTGCTGTTATTTAAAGCGCAACAAAGAATTCGCAACAAAATAATGTCTGACAAGCACATCAATTGTCGAAGCTGGCTGTTTGTCTGACTGGCTGGTTGGTTGGTTGGCTAACTAGCAGTCCCACCACCACCACTCCCCAAAATGAAACCGGAACGAAATGTTGAAGCAAAACAAGAAACAATGAGAACAAAAACAAACCCAACAGAAACAATCACATAAACATGATGTATATGACATCAAAAACAATTTCATCGTCTTCATATCATTCAACAGCACCACTTGTGGCGAGGGCGATATGATCAGGGCTGTACGAACTTTCAACACGATAATATACATTTAAAACAAGTAACAATAAAGTGGTAAAGTTCGACCGGACCAGCATTTTTCAAATTACCTTGGCAATTAAACATTTTTGGTAGGAATACCCAGAGAGAACCCGAAATACCAATTTTCGGAATATTAGCCGGTAACGTTATGTGGGGAATATACCAAAATGTGGACCGACATATCTTATTTTAACAGCAAATATCCTAGAAGTAGTGACATGTACGTGAAAAATGTTCTTAAGTTATGCGAGCTGTATCGTGATTCCAACAGGCAGTCGGACATGGGTATATCAACTTCGAATTTATTCTGATTAAGGTTGCACGAAAACATGTGTATATAAGGCGACCAAATTTTGAATATGAACATAGATGACAAAAAGAAAACAATATATTTTTAATAAAAATAATAATATGTGTAGATTATTACTTATAAATACGAAGCGAACAACCTTGGGATCTTTATATAAGGAACATAGCAAGGAAGTAGACCAATGCCGGCTATGTTTTTCCAATGATATTTTCCAACGCATAGGCCACAAGGAATAGTAAAATTCAGTCACTTTAAATAAAAAAATAAAATGTGTTTTTTTATATTGGGGACCCCTAGAAACATAGAACCCAAAATATCAAATTACAGACAATTCGGTTGCAAAACTTGTCCACTTACCTTCAACAGTTAGAAATTAGAAATATGTGTAAATTATTTGAATCCACCTTTGAGTCCACCTACAATGTGTAATCTCTCTAAATCCATCCAAGGGGACGCGGTAATGTACGTTTCTTAATTTGAGGCTCAGTCGCAGTCAACATTTGCAAGAAATTATCTTCAAACATTAAATTATGTGGATCGTACTATCGATTCAATTTAATATTTCATGCATTATTCTGAATTATATGTGTTTATTTTTTGAACTTTCCCCATTGATCTTAAAAAATCAACTTTTATCAAAGACGATAAACCAACTGATTATACCAATCCTCATAAACAGCGGGTTAAAGTAACAGCCACAATTTGTCCCATTCATTTGAAATAAGTGAACGTTGAAACATAAACAAAAGATATAGAGCAAAATAGCAAAA